TTGAAAAGTACTGATCAAACATGAATTCAACTAGAAATATTTCCTTGACAGGGCAGTGACATCCACGATGAGGCATTTTTAGCTTTATGAAAATCCTCACAGACCACTGCGGTTGCGCTGTCACTTGTGTTAAAGGCTATGCCTACACTGCTGCATCTAAATAATGACATGTTTCAGGATGACCAAGACACACAGGTCTGCAGGGACTGTTGTCTGTAAACAACCCACTGCTGCTGCTGTTGCTGCTGATGATTCTGACATGCTACCAGGAGTGAACATCTCATCCTCAACATCAGCCAAATGTATGTGTTTATTCTAACAATTGAACAGCTGGTCTACTGCTGCGCCCTCTGGTCAGTTTGTGTCAGTGCAGTAAATCCAAAATATGATTTTAAAGGCAAAGGCATGTTTCACCTTGGACAGTTCTCCAGTCTTTTCAGACTTTGGAAACCACTACCATATACTGACAGCTAAGCCTTTCATTATAGAGCGGTGAAGGAATCCGAAACATTATATGCACAAAGGTATGAAACTGATAATAATTTCCTCAGTCAAGGTGACAGACTATGACAATGTCAGGAAGTTTTTTTTCTCCGGGGCTAATTTAAAAAAAAAAAAAAAAAGCAGGTTTCTTTGTTAACCCTTGTAAAGTCCTTTGGGTCTAGCTGACCCCCGGTGCAGCACCACTCTATTCTGTTCCGCCTGTCAAAGTCAAAGACAAGTTCCCTTTATGACACAGGGTCAAAGTCTTCTCACAGCTGAAGAGATTTCATTGATAAGGTTAAATGAGTTAAAGTCAAAAAAATAGAAATACATCGATGAATTGTATATTGTATGAATCTAGGTACATTTGACATTTCTTTGTCCAATTTACTTTGACTCGAATCTTTGGTTCAGAAAAAGTCTTACATTCGCTTGCACGAAAATCGCCACTGGTCGACTGTGTCGTTGCTCTGTTTGTGTGAGGACAATCCAGGTAAATACAAAATACAATTAAAGGAAGGAAGCTGTAGATAAACTACTATTGTAAACCGTTAGATATAAATCATTGTTTTGTCTGTGGACTTTGGCATGGTAGGCAACAGAAACCTACACCTTCCTTGTTATAGAGCAGCAAGAATGAAAGGAGCTTTAAAGTGGTATTTACAACCTAAGCACGGTCAATATGGACATCTACTAATAAATGTAGACATGGGTTTCACTTCTGTGTTATTGTATCCTGTTGTTCATCACAGAGCTAACCAGACCAGAATAGTTCCCTTTTTAAGCACAAACACGTAGAGACTTTTGCTATTGGTCTGTTCAGCATGTCTAACAGGGAGTTCCAGTAATCACACAGCAAACAGCTCTGTCTTTACCATACTTACACCATACAACTATGGGAAAAGGCTTACACCTTGAAACCAAACTACAGCCATACTAAGTATAGTGGTGCCTCTATCGCTATCCTATCGCTGTAATTGCATTCTAACGCGAAATGGGAAAAAATCGCAAAGTAGAGACGAAATAGTTATTATATTATTTACGTATATATTTATATACCCTTTACGAACCTCCCCCATACGGTTACCAACCCTCCCTAGACTGTATTACCCTTTCTAACACATTTATATGCATAGCAGAGTTGTATAACGGCGAGGCCGAGCGAAGTGAACGAGAGAGTGGCGGTCACACGAGTGAAGATGCTAAGAGATACTACGATGCATGCGCCAATCAGCGTGAGGAACAGAATAGCAATTAACCAATAGTATGCTGTGTACGTCTAGGTAAACAAAGCTACCAGCGCTCGTTCGCAAATGCACTTTTAAAGCCAAAAGTTGCGTACGTTTATTATTTTACCATGTCTTTTAGTGTATTTATCTTGCTATATTTATATTATATTATATTATCGCAAATGCACTTTTAAAGCCAAAAGTTTCGTAAGTTTACTATTTTACAATGTCTTTTAGTGTATTTATTTAGCTATATTTTCGCAAGATCGGATTTAAAAAAATCTGCGATGTAATGAGGGAGCGAAAGAAGGACCACGATACAGAGAGGGAACACTGTATTACTAAAATATTTTAAGCTAAGCTAACTTACCTAAGCCATGTAGCCAAACTAGCAGATCATAATAACAATCGTGCATACATCTAGGTAGCAAGTCCCAAAAGCAATTTGCAACAACTGCCCTGAGACAAGTCTAAATCTATTAAAACAATCATTCTAAGAGAGCTAAACATTAGCAAACACGTTATGTGACGTTGCTAAAATGTCCTTGTACCAGATCAAAAAGAACTGTAACAAAACAATACTGTAGCTGCTGTAACATTTCTTGCAGTGTTACAGCGTAGAACTTTATAGCATTATTTGCAGCAGTTGCGCAACATTATTGCGTTAATATTATCTCATAGTGTTCAACTAAGCTAATGTTCAGGTGGCAGTGGTGGCTTAGTGGTTAAGCACGAGGACTTGGGTCAGGTTCGAGTCCAAAAGCTGCCATGTTACCACTGAGGTGCTCTGAGCAAGGCACCGTCCCTACGCACTGTTCACTTTGACGATGGGTTAAAAGGTCACATTTGGTTGTGTGCTGTGGGGTACTGTGTCACAATGACAAGTAGTTCACTTTCCTTCCTTCCACTTTTCCTTGTTGAAATTGTTGAAACTATGACATAAAGTTCACTTTCCTTCCTTCCACTTTCCTAATTGTTGAAACTATGACATATAAATAGGGCAGTTCGGAAAGGACCTAACAATAAATTGCAATTACTTTAAATTAACACATGTAAACTTTTCTGAAGAAAACTGAAATCAAAAGCAAACAAAACAACGAGGCTGACTGGAATGGAGTGTTGTTGTTGTTGTTGTCAAGGGTCTACAGAGGGTATCCATGGTGTCCAGGATGGAGATTTTATGATTTCCGTGTCACCATGGTAACCAAAGAATTGCTGCATCCAGAGGGTTTTTGATTCCTGGTGGCCCCTCCAGGTCCAGGTCCTGGTTGTTTACACTCCTGTAAACCAGTGTGTCATGGTAGAAACTCATATCCCCAGACTGTTTCAGTCCAGCGGTTAAACTTCACGTCAAACAGCAGAAATATAATTGGACTCAAATGAGATTTTAACCTTTTTCTTTTTTTTTACACACAGGAAGAAGATGCTAAATGTTTAATGCTTAGTTCTTAGCATAATAAGGCATTGTGGGCCACGGCGAGGCCCATTCATTTCGTTTTCCATTCACAGCTCCGTAATTGTCTGACACACAGATTGAAGGCGGTGACTGCTACTCCTCTTATTCTTAATTAGGTGTGCATTTATGAGTTTGGTCTGTAATTTGTGTGAAGGAGGCCGGATCTCTGCCGCAGATTTTTAGAAAGACTGCAGCGTCGTCATTTATCTAATCTTCATAAATTATTTAAAAGAGACAAAAAACAAGCAGACAAGCAGAGACACAGTGTGTGTTTCTTAACAAGAGCAGAGCTTAAGTAGTAATACGTACTTCTGCTTGTTGCCATTCCGGTCAAACAAGACCAGTTAGATTTGAACTTTAATCATTGACAGCTTTTTAGAACATTGTCCTTGAAATTCTTATGAACGGAGAAGAATCTATCGGCATACCCAAAAAGCGTTCATTCTAGCTTTAAATAGTCAATCATTACTTACTAAATTAGTAAAAAAAAAAAAAGACTAAACAGATTATGAATACATTCAGATGAAAATTTAATTATTTTGCCATTTACATAAGGATATCTATTTAAATTTGTATATAGCTTTCGTTGAAATGCAGAGTGGTTTATTATAAGCATTTTATGTTGCAGTTCATTTGTAATGATGTTTTGAGAAATTTCTGAGGCGAGCAGGTGGGTCAACTATGTAACAATCTGGCTGCCTTATAAAGCAGCTGGTTCATCTTTTGTGAATAATCACTAATGCCAACATTGACAAACTGCTGAGATAGTTGGAGTGACACCGCAGGGTTTATGTGAAAAGAAACATTCATAAACGACAAGCGTGACCTTTGCGCTGAAATGTCAAACGTGTCTTTCTCAGCCTAACACAAAGGTGAAGGCATCGTTTTCGAGAACAGGTATCACACACTTTCTCAGCGGCTAAGATATGCACTTACCGGAACTAAATATCAGCGCCTTAGATGCTGTAAATGTCCAGATTTCAGTTGGATTCAGTGTCTCTTCTGCTCTTGTTTTCATGTTCATCACTGCCACTGAGAGGCGTAAATGAACCACAGCGTGTTGTGCTTAATGAAGACTTTTGACAGATGGTTAGTCCTGTTGGTATGACTCCCTGCAGTGAGCCTAGTACAGATCCATTCGTTTTCTTTCTTCTCTGTCACAGAACTGAAAACACTGCCATTGGCTGAAATATGTTGAAAATCTGTTACGTGAGAGATGAAATAACTCAACTCTCTGTTCTATTGTGGAATTTTTACACAATTGAACAGAGAACTTTTTTTTTTTACAGGTAAGTACATTTACAGGAAGTACATTTTAGGTTTTGCAGCTTACTTCAAAGACAGGTCTGGTGCACAAGTTCTGAGACCTGTTTTCCTTAGATCCATTAAAGTTGAGTTAGCAAAGCTAGTCTTTTATCTTGCTAATTAAAAAAAGAAAAAAACTTACAGTCGATTGTTCATTAAATGATGCATCCATCTTCCACCAATTAATTCTTTTCATTAAGGGTGAAGGGCCCAGTCCTTGGTGGCCAGGATACACACTGGACTTTGTTTTCCAGTTCATTATAGGACCACAATGCGAGATAAACAACCTTTCGCACTAACACTCAAATTCGTTCATTTCGGCTATTTGCTGACCTATTTTTACTTTAGTCTTCTTTAAGATTTATCTCACTTAATTTGAGCTTCCTGCTTATTATTTCAAATTATATAATTTTGTATTTATTTGTCTTTATCTCAATACACAAACAGTACAAAAAGTCCCACACAATGTCATGTAATTTCTGGTGGATGAGCAGGTTTAGAGCTGACATCACATGACATGTGTTTCTTTGTCTCAGTTTAAAGCCACAGCATGAAACAACCGGTCAGACCTGCTGGTTAACCCCCCCACCGCACCCCACCCGTAGGTCTAAAATGCACAAAGAAACACGAGATCACTCAGACTCAAACGTTCACCTCAGATTTTTCAAGTTCCAACTTTAAAAAGTACCCAAAGAATACGGTCATTACAAAAAGTAACAATGACCTTAAACTTGAGGCCAGAATATTCAAAATGTTCTCAATTTCAGTCAAAAATGACTTTGAATTCAATCAGTTTTTATCATTGCTTTGCAGTCAAACTTACAATCTCTGGTACCTCTCTAAAAGACTGAAAACACTGACTCTTGCTTAAGGGGACCAAACTGAACTTGTCTCAATCGTTTCTTCAATGACTTTGATTTGTTTAGGCTGCAAAAAGTGGACTAGGCACCTTTAAACAAGGATTCAGCTAAACAGTTTTATGAAAAAGACATAAGTCATTAGTGGTGCTTTGGCCCAGAGGCAATGTCTCTGTCATTCATGTGGCACCCCAGGGTTAATTTTGTGTATTGCATCTATTAGCAATACACGCAAAAGTAATTATGCTGTTTTCCTAGCTTTAGCTAAGGCTAGGAAAACAGGATAATTAATTGTGTGATCTCTTAATTAATTAATTAATCTCTGCATATTACTCTCTGCATACTACTTATATGTAAGTAATATGCAAATGTCACATTAGGCACCCTTTGACAGGGCTTCACTTTTTTTAGGCTCAGAATTGACTAACAAAAGAATAATTAGCAAATGTTTTGCAGATTTGAAACAAAACATAAATATTAGCAAAATAAAAAATAGACTAAAATTAATAGATATTATTTTTTTTATTTGTTTAGATTTAGGGTATTTTTAACAGTGACAGGTTATCACAATAAAATGCTAACTGTTACTTGATAAAATAAATATAAAAAAAAATAATGTTATCTTGAATTAGTACAAATTTAAATTAAATTGGCACAGGCAGTTAAGGGGTAAAATTCTAGGGAAACTTAAAAAAAACTTGGATAATAACAGGTCATGGCTACAGTACCTAATAAGTTAAATCAAATGTAGTTACATTTAAAATAAAATCTAATTTTTAAAGATAAAATACATATGCTTGATGTATGGATATATTTGCTATTTTGTATGCTTGATGTATGGATATATTTGCTAGATTGTTATTATTGTTATCTATTTAATTTTGTTCCTTAGCTTGTCTTTTTGTTTCCACGTGATTACTATATAAAACAATTATCTTATTGCATGCCTGTGGGATTTTAGGTTTTTATAGGAATGTACGGTGATGCATATATTGAGAATTTGTGTAAATAACCCATTCAAAAACACACCTGTCTTTCGTTCTTATTTCCGGGTTTGGGGCGCTGAGCTGACATGTGATCGGCCGGTTTGGTGAAACATTTGTTTTAATTGGCTGAGTCTGTTCACATGGAGAAATGGGCGGGTTATTTTGATGGGACGTAAACGAGGAAATAAATATGGGTGCAAACCGTTTATGCGGTAGCAGCACCTAGGGCTTATGTTACTTGGCTTTGTTGTGAGTTGTTGAGTGTTTTTAAAGTTAATTTTGTGTTTTTGTGCCGCCATGCTTGTTCTTGGACTGGTGGTTTTACTAGCCTTTAAAACCGAGGCTTTAAACAATGGTTTGGCGCTAACTCCCACCATGGGCTGGCTTCACTGGGAAAGATTTATGTGCAACATCGACTGTGCGAAAGATCCTGACAACTGCATCAGGTTAGTCAAGTCTCGTGACCCGCTGCTCCTTTTTCAGGAAAAGAGCAACCATTGCATGTGACTCTAGTCCTTCGCTTTTCAGAAATACACATTCCACCTGTTTCAAGTTAAATGTGACAAAAAAGCCAGCCATTTTCAGCTAATTTGTGTTCGTCCTTAAATTTAATTCAGTTAGTATTTGATTTCTTGACACGAATCACGGGTTTATTTGTTTACTTTTATTTCTTACTGGTAACCTTTAAAGAAAATCAACTTTTTGTAGGATACATTTCTAATAAAATAATAGTTTTGACCAGGTAACTTGTAAGCACTTCTGTAAATAACTAACATTAAAAGCCTGGTTCATTTAAATTGCAAATGACAACATTGATTGTTTCCTCAGGTAAATGCATTTTTTTCTTATTCTGCTTATCACATTTTATGAAAATATATCCTATCATTTTTTCCTACAGTTCCGCCATATAGGCGTTATGTGGCTTGTTTTAAAAATATGTGGCAAATGAAAGTTCTCTCCTCACATGACTCACTTACATGACAACAAGGAATGATGTCACCTTCCTCTGTTCTCATGTTTACCCAGAAATGGCATGATTATTTTTTATCCTCTGTTCTCATGTTTACCCAGAAATAGCATGATTATTTTTTTTTTCTGCTTTGTAAAATGTACATGTTAAACCTAAAAGTTTTAAACTGTGACACACAGTAGCAACTGACGCACTTTTGCTTCCAACACAAGTTTAAATGTCTTAAATCGTGACTTTGCTTTTGAAAATTCTTTGTTTAGATTTACCTCAGTGGAATAAACGGAAGCAGAAAACTGACAGCCTCTCAGTTTCTTGAAGCAAAAAAAAAAAAAAAAATGCTTGTGGATGAAAGATTTTGAAAATCTAGTTTATAATCATGAACACATTATTTATGCTGCATGGCAGTGTCATGTACTGTATATCTGACACTCTCTCCACACTGTCTTGCCAGTGAAAAACTCTTCATGGCGATGGCGGACATGATGGTGAAGGACGGCTGGAAAGATGCTGGTTATGAGTTTGTCTGCATTGACGATTGCTGGCCTTCATTTGAACGTGATGCTCAGGGCCGCATGCAGGCAGACCCAGTCAGATTCCCTGGAGGCATCAAGAAACTGGCCGACTATGTACGTAGCTGTTCTGACAAGACAATTTTATTTGCAGTATTTTATTATATACCATGTTTAAATGTAGTCAGTTTGGCTTAAATGAATTACATTAAATATTTTCTTGTCCTTAGCCAGATTATGGCTTCATCTTTTTGCCATATTTGCAACATTCAGTGATAGGAAGCTATTTTTTCAAATAATTTATATTTATAAATTGAGGGATTTCTCCTCATTTATGGCTAACTATTAGGGGTTTTTTATGTAATGTGTAACTTGACAGACTTGTTTGAGTAGCCTTTTCGCTAATGACGTGTCAACCCAGTAATAAAGCTGATAGCCAATGTGGCTTTGGTGGTCAAAAATGCTAGGGTTATTTAAAGCTAAAGATACTGAAAAGTCAGCAAAGCGACTTGATGTAAAATCTAAATAGTGGAAGGTTAAGCACAAATGGTTAAAAGTAGTGTCAAATTGCTAAAAGCTAGCTGAGAAATACGTGATATTTGCCTTTATCTCGAACATTTTCTGTAAAAATAAAAGTAAAATATGTGAAATATATTTCTGCTAATCCACAGCTGCCTCCCTTGTTCCACATTTGAGTCACCAAAATTTCTGTAAAAATAAAAGTAAAATATGTAGAATATATTTCTGCTAGTGACAGTGACATCACAGGCCTTAAAGATTTTGTTGACATCTGTTGAGTTAAACCGCAACGATTTTATCCGTTGAATATTTCTGGGTGTTTATCTAGCCTGTGTTACTCAGGGCCACAGAGACTGAACTATATATATTTTTTGTAGTTGTGCAACACTGCCACCTGCTGTACATTAGTCTATATGACTATTTTATTGCGTGTTGTTTTCTTCTTCCAGGTCCACTCTAAAGGCCTGAAGCTGGGGATCTATGCAGATGTCGGCAGAAAAACTTGTGGAGGTTACCCTGGTAGTCTGGGTTACTATGAGACCGACGCTCAGACTTTTGCAGACTGGGAAGTGGATCTGCTCAAGTTTGACGGCTGCTACATGGACCGCACTTTAATAGCAGAAGGTGAGCCATAAGCAATTCTAACTGAAAGAAAGGTGATGAGTCAAACAAGATATTTTTTTCCAATGCCTAACTACATTTTTGTAATGTTTCTGGAAAAGTGTGCGAGATAAATGTCCCAAAGCCTTTTTTGTGGCAAGGTTGCACAATGGAGTTTGAAAATACTGTGAAATAACTGAAGTGAAACACTTTTTACTAAACACATTTAAACTGAAATAAAAAAATAATTAAATTAGTTAGGCAAAAAAAGTAAACAAGAATAGTCAAATATTATTTAAAAAAAAGAGAGAGAAATCAAAAATATAAATTAATTAAATTTCTTTTACATTTTTAATTGGATTCAGTATGTGGTGGGCATAGCTAAAATTAGAATAGATTAGAGTAAAATTAAAAGTTAACCAAAGATATAGAAAATAATAAATAGCTTTAAATTAAGTTATTTTCATCCAAATTACTAGATATTAGGGTTCAATATCTTATTGGCCGAAATCAAAAGTTTAAAGTTAGCTTAGTTGGACATTAGATTTTCTTGTTATTATTTGTTTGTTAAGTTTATCACAGTACATTAGATTTTCTTGTTATTATTTGTTTAAGTTTATCACAGTGTTGTAAGAGGACATAAGTGTTAGTGTTAGTACAGGCGTTTTTTAGTTGAGTACTCTCTTCCATAAAGTAGTTGTCAATGTGTGTACGTGTGTTGTTTTGACCTTGTTGTTTATTTAAGTTTCTTTTGTCTTTTCTGTTCAAGGTTACGTAAACATGTCTATAGCACTGAATAAAACCGGTAGAAGTATCGTCTACTCCTGTGAGTGGCCCTTGTACGACTGGAAAGTTGAAATGGTGAGAGACCGCTTTATTCTTTTTCAGCCAGGCTATTCAAGTTCTGCTTCAAGTTGAGTATCTAGACTATGATTGTTTTCTGACTGATATATTTTTTTAAACCCTCATTCTTCTACACTATAGTCCTAACTGTTGCCTCCTGTGATCAGTGTTTGTCACTGATTGAAATTGAGCAAACAATCTTTTATGGCTAAATTATACATTTATCCTACTGTAGGAGACAGCAGCAAATCAGCAAGTACTGACGAGGTTCAAAGGTCATTCCTTATGGACTTTGGCTTTTACAAACGAGCACGAACACAAGTGGCTTGTTAATTATAATGTTGTCCACATTTTGTAAATCAAGATGTGATTATTGGTAATGATGTTGAACACTATTTTAAGACCATGGGTCACATGTTGAGTTTCTCTGCACCTCTCCAGCCTGACTATCCAGCTATTCGGGACACATGTAACCACTGGAGGAACTACTATGATGTGTATGACTCATGGCAATCTGTCAAATACATCTTGGACTGGACAGCTGATCACCAAGACATTTTGGTCCCTGTAGCTGGACCTGGGGGCTGGAACGACCCTGATATGGTACTAATTCAATGATATACAGCCAAGACGCTACAAGTATTTAAGATGGGTCAAGGAGGTTAAAAAAAAAAGGACAGATATGAGACGGACAATAAATGACTCCAGGGTTATCGGTAACACTAATGATTACCTGTAGTACAAGTGAGGTAGTACAGCAACAAAAGCTAGCCAAGAAGATTGGTAAATATTCTTAAATATAGCCTGAATACCTAACGGTTTGCAACAATGTTCATCTATAGCCAAACCTATATGGTGGTAAACTTTAATTGGTAAAAAAAAAAAAATGCAAATAAGTAGACCACGAAATAGTTATACAGTATTTGCCCTGTATTTGATCTGTATGTTTTCTTAATATCCCCTAATTTTTTTTTTATACTGCGCTTGGTTCACCTCATTTCAGCTGGTCATTGGAAACTATGGGCTAAGTTTCGCCCAGCAAGAGTCTCAGATGGCTTTGTGGGCCATGATGGCTGCACCACTGATCATGTCTAATGACCTGAGGGACATTGATCCTCGCTCCAAAGAGGTGCTACAGAACAAACACATTATTGCTATCAACCAGGACTCTTTAGGGATGCAGGGATACCGCACGACTCAGGTAGGTGGTTCGGAACTACACCGTAACTCTTATCAAATACAAATAAAATTAGCTACAATTTACATCATACTGTCAGACTGAACAGTGCTTAATTTAAAAATTTTAAAAAAAGTTGTCATTATGTAATATTTGGGGGGGTCACCCAAATAAAACAAAAATATTGGTAACCTCATAAGTAAAGTACATTTTCAATTCTGTAGTATCAAAAAGTTGTCACTTTTTTTGGAAAATACTGAAAAACATTTTCTGCATCTGATTGA